TTTGGTAAATGATCCAACAGACAAACTAGAATCATGGGTGCCCATAGTGTAATGGAGAGGCAGGCAATACGGCTGACACTCTTGGGGAGATGCAAGTAATTTAATTAAATAATATTAGTAAGGCTGTAGGGAAGGGTTCTTCTGAGCACTTGTTAGGAATGCATGATGGTACATTGGATAAGGGCCAATTTGGCATGATACAGTGTATTTTAAAACTTGCATACTTTTAACGGAGAAATTGCGTCAGGGAATTTCCCTGTGGAAACATTTGTTTACATGATACAAAGATAATTGCAGTATTGTTTAGAATAGTGAGAAACTGGTAAGTAACTAAATGCTCCTAGTAGGGGAGGCTGGTTAAAAAAGGGTGGTTACTTTCAGATGGTTGAATACTGTGAAACCCATCAAAGAATGAGGTGGTCCATCCACATGGTGTGAGCCACAAACAGTTGCAAAATGATATGCATTGTATGAATCTAAATTTGGCAAAAAATAGGTATGTACAATGGACATAGCCAGGAAGGATTTTCATCAATTATGCTATGTGTTTCATTTAACTTTTTTGGAGAGTGTCAGGGAGAAGGATTATAGGATGCTTTCATTAAAATTTTTTTTCTAGTTTTATGGCTAAAAGGACATTTTTCCTTAGTGGAGATTGAAAGGGCTGGGCAGCAGACTCTGGTGGGTCTCTCCCTCAGTCTTTGGTAACACTCGTGCCCAGCAGAATGGCTGCAATATTTATTCTCCTTCCTTCTCTGTCAAGAGTCCTCAGAAATCACTGTAAGCAAGTATTCCTTGTGTTACAGGGAATTCAGGTCAGTTCATCCAAGGCTTGGGCACTTTTCCTTCTGACCCTAAGCTTGGCACTGCAAGAAATAAAAGATAAATAAAAGAAGTAGCAAGAAGTGAAGACCATATATGTGGTGCTTGCTCTGTGCCAGGTACTTGCATAAAGTCCTTGTGTGCACACCCCCACCCCGCCCTCAGCCCCACGAAGTAAGTACTGCTTTCATCCTGCCCTTTTACAGGTGAAGACACGCGGGCATCCATGGGTTTCATATTGTCCAGAGCTGTAGGCAGCTGGGATTCAGACTCGGAGTCTGTGCTCCTGACCTCTCCAACTACCCCCACCCTCCACGTCCCTCCAGGAACGCACATCTGCTTGTCCAGGAACCTGGGAAGATTCCTTATAGATTATCATCCGCTGGGAGGCTTTGAGAGGGGACGAGGGCACTGTTAGTAACCGTTCCGGGGCAGGCGGGCGGGAGCCAGGGCTGCCCTGTGGAAAGTGGGACTGCTGACCACCGTCATCAGTGGGGTGTGTCTCGTGCTGTGCCGTGTAGATCAGAAAGTGCGCTGCTCAGGAGGTGTTCGGGAGACGGAGAGCAGAGCCGGTCATAGGAAAAGGGGGGGTGGTTTGTGGGACACCCTGAGGCAGCAGCGAGGTTGTCCGCTCAGAGGGCACACGGTGCGGTAGGGGTGGAGCAGCTGGGGTGCCGCAGAGGAGAGATGGGAGACAGACCATGGGAGGGGACATCTGACGCATGTGGCTCCTTTGACCTGACCTTACTGTTTCTCCTGCCAGGAACATGGGCCGGTCCTCAGGTTCCCACTGCAGCGCCCCCGTTATCTGCTAGGAGCCTTCTTGGGCCTTGACAGAACAGTGCGCTTTCCCATTTGTGGTGACTCACACCGAGGCCACCCCACCCAGCGCCCTAGCCTAGTCGGTCTGCACGGTCCATGCTCACGGCTCGCTGACTGTCTCTGCCACTGGGGAGCAGAGATTTCGGTGTTGTGCCCCTGGCCTGCAGCTCGAGCCCGGAACCTGGACACTGAGGGTGGTGGATGTCATTTGGTCAGTCCCAGGAAGCTACTGAACGTGTGAGTGAGGGAGTGAAGACAGCAAAACTGACCTGTAGGAAGGTGTTTCGTTGGCGAGGTGATTGAAAACAGGGGAGTCCTGCACTAGTGAACTCAGCCACAAAGCCGAACCAGACTTGCACACATGGTAGACGATTTGATGGTTGCCGGGGGAAAGGGGGTGGGAAGGGATAAATTTTGGGAGTTTGAGATTTGCAAATGTTAGCCACTATATACTAAAACAGATTTAAAAAATTTCTTCTGTACAGCACAGGGAACTGTATTCAATATTTCGTAATAACCTTTAAAGAAAAAGAATATGAAAAACAAATACATGTGTATGTATGCATACTGAGACATTATGCTGCACAACAGAAGTTGGCACATTGTAACTGACTGTACTTCTGTAACTGACTGTACAATTTAAAAAAAAAAAACGGGGGAGTCCTGGGGACAGGGGCAGATGTTGAAGCTGGAGGCTGTGAGGTCTGTGTTCAGATGAACGTGGGCTGGAGGACAGCTCCTGTGTGCATCCCCTTCTATTTTTCTGAAGATGAAGAATAGATCTTTTTTAACCTCTTTTTCCCCTTTTTAATAAATTCCTCTTCATCTCTTTCTAATAAATCCCCATGTTCCACTTTTCCAAGTTTATGGTCTACACACACCAAGTATTTATTACTGAGAAGTACCTGGTTGGTGCGAAAAGGCGGCTCCGTTCTGCTGCTCTGGTCTCGCCTGCATCCTGACTGTCCAGTTGGCACAGAACAGTGAATAAACTAATGCATTAATTCACTCAACAAATATTGATTGAGCACCTGCTAAACCTCATAATAGATTTCTGATTTCCCAGCAAAAGAGTGGAACCACCAAATACTGTAAATGAGTAATTTCTGTCCATAGGATAAAGCTGTCTTGATTTTCTTTTGAAGTTAACTCTTCCTTCCGCTTGTCCCTCCTGACACAGATGCACACGAGAGGTTGTTGTACCCAGAGCTGTATTTGTCTGGTCAGGTGCCCTTGTCTGAGGACCCACGTGTGGGGCTTTCTGTGGGCCGTGCTCTTGTTGAGTGTGACCCAATTGGTCACACTGGGTGCCCCCTGCCTCCCAGCGTCACTGGCAACCAGCAAAGGGCACTGAGCAGCTGGCCCTCCTAGGTCACTGTATCGCGTCCCTAAGCCCAGATCTGAGTTCCTGTCTTTGACAAGGACCTCTTATGGAGGTAGTTAAAATTAAATTAATTACCATTAGCAAAGAATCTTGTATGTGCTCAGTACATCCTAGGTCCTTCCTCCCCCTTCGTTCCTCTTCCTGGCACCGTCAGATGTGAAAACGCACCCTCTTACTCTATCGCCGAAGCCTTTGAATTTTATTAAGATACGTGGCTCATCTTTCATGGGTAAAGCCATCCCACCATCGGAATGTGATAGCTCAGGGAGTCGGGAAGCTTCGGGGGAGGAGGGGAGAGAGCCCTGGGCTCCTTGGAGAGTGAGACAGCCTCTCTCTGTCCCTTCTGCACAGCTGCACTTGCCTGGGAGGGACTCCGAGGTGGGGTGGGAGCAGAGGGAGGAGGTGCCAGGAGGGTGATGTGAGGAGTGGGTACCAGGCAGCAGAGGCTCTCGGTGCCCTGGGGGGCCCAGAGCGCTCACCGCGGGCTTCCGGTTCTCTCCCCCCTTGAGGTGTGTATTGGTTAGTGGGTCTGTTTAAGAAATTAGTCTAAAAAGGAATGATAGTTCTCACTGGGGACGGGGCAGGGACAAGGGCACAGCTGGTGGGGTGACCACCTTGTACAATTTGTGAGTATAAGACCCTGTGAAAAGTCGGTATCTTTGTCTAGTTATTTCTCTTCCAGCAGTTTACGACAAAGAAGTATTTGGAAGTGTAGACAGAACTCCTGCCACATTCTAGTTTTAATAGCAGAAAAGCAGAAACAAGCTAAATGTCCAGTGAGCAGAGTGTAAATAAATGGTCATACACATTGAAATAGTATAATATGATATAGCAATAAAAATAAGTGTTTTCAAAACTATTTCCTGATGGAATAATATTCATGTAACGTTAAGTAAAATGTGGGATATGAAACTGAATAAACTGTATGAACAGAATAATCCCAATTTTAAGAGATCGATGGATCTGTGTATCTTCATCCTGCAGTCAATCAAAATACTGGTGTTAGCAGGTGATGAGAACTGACCAGAAGAATCTCATCCCACTAGCCTGCAAGATTCATCTTTATCTTCAGGTTTTATCTCGATGAAAACATTTACATTGACTTAGCCAGCGAAACAGAATCTGTGTCTGTTTCCAAACACTGAAATGCTTGATCTAGCCGTCCTCTCAGTTTCCGTATCCAGCCTTATTTTGCGCAGCGGTTCTTTTTCCCCTGGGCTGTCAAGTCGTCCCTGCACTGGACGTCCCAGCTTCTGAAGCGACAGCGGAAATCACGCGGACAACCTGTTATTTTTATCGTCAGACCTTCCACCAGGAAGCGCGCGCCGGTGGCCTCAGCTGTGTGTTTAGTGGGAACGACCGCGGAGGGCTTCGCTCCTCGTCCGGGGGCGAGCGCGTCACGTGACACCGCCCGTTCGAGGGCAGTGACGGCCCCGGGAGGCCTGGTGGTGACACAGGAGGCTAAGCGAGGAGATCAAGAAGATCACTCCCAGAGGGAAAAGGGGGCACTTTGCCAGCTGGAGAGCGCGCCCTCTCCAGCCCGAGCCCCGAGAGCCCCGGGAGCGAGTGTGCCTGTGTGTCTGGGGTGCCCCGCACAGCTGCCTCCTCCGGCCCACCCTCCTCTCCAGCTCGGGGCCTCTTGTCACTGAGTTCTCCAGTCCTCCAGTCAGCGTCCCCTGGGCACCTGCCACCTGCCTGTCTGTGATGTCGCGGTGGAACCACATACTGACCAGCTGATCACTCTGCCTTAGGTCCCAAAGCTGTCATGTGCACTTGACCCCCGACTCGCAGCTGTTGGCCTTAACAAGGAGGAATCGGCCTTCCTCCCAGGGGCCAGGGCTTTCCTGGGCGGACTGGCGTGGGCACATGCTTCAGTTACCCTCTGGGCAGGAGACGGCAGGTGGGAACACTTGGCTAACAGTGTTCAGAGGGAGCAGTTCTCAAGACAGCAGTTCCTGGCATGCTCTGTTACTTCCTTCCCTAGAAACTAACCGTTGATCAAGGAACTTCCATTACACCTCATTTTAAAACAAAATATGTTATGCCTTATAATTTATCATGCGGCTGAATAGTATATTTCTTCATCCATTTTGGATGTCTTTGTGTTGATTTTTTCCTTAAAATCAACTAAAATTCTGTGTTGACCTCATTCTCGATACACATCAGTTCCCCATTTTAGCCACTTTGTGGCAAAGACAGAGGTTCCATCAGCTCTAAGAACACGGCTCAGTGGTGTGTGGGCTCGGAGCTCTCCTGCCAGTCTCTTCCGTGTTTCCTTGGTTTTGCTGAATTCTGACATAAGGCCTTAGCCGTTAGGATTACTGGGTGCAACATTTCCTGCAGACATAGAAATACACAGTGTCCAGAATATACATATGAGAAGAAAAAGGGCGTTAGGTTATGAGCTTCTTTCTGCTGCTTTGGTGCTTTTGCAGGCGGGCGTGTAAACAGTCGTCACGCTGGCCTGCGTGTATGTTGAAGGCAACTGTGGGCTTGTGTCTACCCTGCTCCCCAGACGTGTCCCCAGAGGGATCCACTGAGGTTAAAATCAACCCCTGTCTAAACTCCACAGTGGTGTCTGGGGAGCCAGCAAAGCTCAGAAGGGTTTTATTCAACTTGAGCATTCAGCCAGGATGTTACTCTGATCAGAGCTGTGTACAGTGAAAAAGAGTCACCCTCTCCCTGGAGGGAAGAAGTCCTTTGAAAACTTGAGTTGAAGTGAGAGGTTTGCTGTAGTGAGCACTGCTTGTTGGTCTGAGTCCAGCGGTTTGTTTTCTCTTTGCTGTTTCTTTTTGTTTTGTTACTGTTGTCCAATGATTTCCTTCATTTTTTTATTTAGTAGGTCACAGGTTTCCTACAAATAATGGCATTTTTAAAACAAAGTGGAAAAAGAAAGCAAGTAGAAGCGCGAAACCAACGTTGATCGCAAACGTTAACTTTGGGATGAAAACAGTGTTATTGGTTTGTCCAGAAGTTTTAAAAAAGATAAACTGCATCGTTCACATTAGTGGTGCTCAAAATAAAAGGGACTGAGCAAGAAGAGCCAAAAGGATCACACCAAGAAGGCTAAGTGTTGAGCCCAAATTTTATGCACGAGTGCTGGACGAGAGCGATGTGCCACTTTCTTTTGTAAGTGCTGTGCATGTGTGAGTTCATTTATTGCTTACAGACGTCCTAGGAGGAAAGTGTGTTGTTATCAGCCCTTTTTTAAATCAGTGAGGAGAGAGGGGCCACTGGGTAGAGTAATTTGTGCCACATTGCACAGGCAGCAGGAAGCAGATGGAGGATTTAAGTTCAGGCATTCTGAGCTCTGCATATTTCTTCTTAACCTCCTGTATGAAGTCTTCTCATGAAGTCACTTACTAATACA